TTTATCGAAACCGTGTTCAGTGTAACGGCATATTGGACTGTGCAGATGGTGAAGATGAATGGTTTTGTGATTTGCAAATAAGAGGACCAAAGATCATCACATTTTTGATGAGTAAACTTTTATTTTACCCTCACAACCTTGAAAACGTCAGTGCACACTCGATGTATCCGATTCGTATCTACGTTACTGAGACTTCATATGTCAAATCGGACTGGTATTGTAATCGTGGTATTCCAATTACTGGCGTTCGAACGCGTCGTTGTCTCTGTCCACCGAGTTATTCGGGAGAACGTTGTGAAAATCAACGAGAACGAATCTCAATTATTCTGCAGATTATTTCGCCACCATTTTTGCAAAGAGATATTGCAATAAAACTTATTTTGTATCTCGTTGACATCACCCCACTTGAGATTTTAGCCAGTGAAGAAGTTCTACATTTTCCTTACGCTCATTCGTTATACAAACACATAGTCTTTCTATCCTCTTTACGAGCAAATCAAGCATTTATTCGCATCGATGCGTACGAAGTAAATATGGAACGAATTATTGCCTACTGCACATCTTGGAAGTTTGATCTTCCTTTTCCATTCTTACCCGTACGTCGATTAGCCGTTAGACTCATTACCTTTGACGACGAGAACTTCCCTTCTCGAACAAGATTTACTTGTCACAGATGCATTCATGGTCAGTGCTTACATTATCAAAACTCTGATGATGTATTTTGTCACTGTTACGACGGCTGGACTGGTTCCACTTGCAATGATTCTTTATTATGCGCATCTGGAGCTAAGTCTATTACTTCACATCGATGCTTATGTCCAATGAATCGTCATGGTATCCGATGTTTCGTTCCGTATATCGCTGTTTGTCAATGCCGCAATGGAGCTACCTGTATACCATTAGACGCTCGTACTGGACAAAGTGTATGTCTATGCCCCGACAAATTTTTTGGTCCGCATTGCGAACGGCAGCACGCCAGCCTTACCATCAACACATTTGACAGATCTCAACCGAAAATATTACCTATTATTCTAATTCAGTTCATTGGATATAGTCCTGCTTACTCTACGTATTTCGAAAATACATTCTTATTTGAACGTGTTTTGACCAACCGTGATCTTGTCATATATCACATCAATTACGAAACTCTACCACTTTTGGTGCTTTGTAAAGTGTTTTATAGTTCATCAATCAACGACTATAGATATTATATTGTTTTACAGATACCTATTTCTATATTTCTTCAAGGTTTTCGACCGAAATACGTTCAGACACAATTAGAAACGAGACAGATGTGTTTGCACATACATGAGATGGAAATTTTCAAGACACCTACTAATATTCTTGCGTATCCGCACATAAAACGTGTCAAATTTTATCTTCGTGGCTGTATTGATAACATTACACGTTGTTTTCATGACGAGATCTATCTTTGTTTCTGTCCTATAGCCTATAATCAAACAGCCACTTGTATTATCCATGATCACACTCGAGAGAGATGTCAGCCACCCAGCTATTGTCTCAATGGAGGTTTGTGTGTTGAAAATCGACGTGGAAACGTTTTTGAATTCGCGTGCCTATGCCCATCATGCCATTATTACGGTTCATTGTGTCAGTTCTCCATAGGACAACAACAAGGTCTTTCACTTGATGCATTAGTAGGCATTGAACTGCGCACAGGAAAAACTCTATCAGAACAGTCTATATTAATCAAAGTAACTATTACTGTTCTCATTTTCATGATTACTTTTGGATCCATTGGAAATATATTATGTGTCATGACATTTGCACAACAAAAATCACGAGAAATTGGATGTGGGTATTACTTGTTCGTTATATCCATATATAATCAGTTAACATTGGTAATACTTGGTTTACGGTTCGCATATCTTCTTTTAACTCAAACAGTAGTATGGAACAATAAAGGTCGATCACTCATTCTATGTAAATGTCTCGACTATGGACTAACTCTCTTACCAAATCTTTCTGATTGGTTATCGGCATGTGTAAGTGTAGAACGAACATTGGCAGCAGTACGTGGTGCTTTATTCAATAAACAAGTAAGTATACGTACTGCTAAAGGTCTTTGTGTCGTACTCCTAATTGTACTTTCGGCAGTCACTGTTCCTGAAATTCGGACTCGTCAACTTATTGAAGATCCCCGACTCGGTCGATACACCTGGTGCGTCACTAAATTTAGTTCAGAAAAACTACAAGCATTCAAGTCGTTTCTCTCCATTGCACATCTACTCGGTCCCTTTCTTATCAACCTATTTTCAACTAGTATTCTTATCGTAGCCATTGCTAGACAAAAATTAACCGTACGTAAACGTAATGTCAACCAGTCATTCACTGCTATGTTACGTGAACAAACTGCTCATTACAAACAGTTGCTGATCACTCACACGGTCTTGCTCATTCTTGCATTACCACGTTTGATCATCTCACTTGGATCACTTTGTATCGATACAACATGGCGAAATTATGTATTTCTTGCTGGATATTTTATTTCGTTCATGCCGATCGTGACAACACTTTTCATATTCGTTATACCAGCGCCACTCTATCGTGATGAATTGAAGCAATATTTATTATGTATTCGTTCTGTTGGTATTCCCAATTAATTTCAAAATACTATTGAGAAATTATCAAACATATTCAATCTTGAGAATGTAGGTGTGGGTATGGCTGTGAGTGTGGATAGGGTGGGTATGGGTGTGGGTGTGGGTGTGGGGATGGGTGTGGGGGTGGGTGTGGGTGTGGGTGTGAGTGTGAGTGTGAGTGTGGGTGTGGCTGTGAGTGTGGGTGGGCGTGGGTGTGGCTGTGAGTGTGGATGTCCGTGTGGGTGTCCGTGTGAGTCTGGGTGTTAATGTGGCTATACTTTTATCTTCTTCCATCACCCACACCAACACCTCGCTCGCCACCCACACTCCACACCCACACCCACACCCACAACCACAACCACACCCACACCCATTATATGGTGAACTAAGTGATGCACTCGATCGTTTTACTTTTATTTATGATCCATTCACGTAAGATCCTTGTTAATAGTTATCATATATGCAGAAAAAAAAATAATATTCAATTCTTTGTGGTGATGTGAAAGCACATCCACGACCAAGAGTCACCGATTTCAAATCGGATGCCAAGGCAGCTGGTCTAGCTTTATGGAATGGTTGGAAAGATGGAATGNTTCTGCATGCAGCACAACCAAGCAGGGAAACCGCACAGGCCGATTTTCGGATCGGGACAGGAGATAATGCAAAAAAATGGTTTTTGGGATGGTATTTGGCCAGAAACCCCTACTTTTTGGACGACGAGGCTATCCAAAACTTATACCATTGGATAGAGCATAAAATTCTGCATCTAGCACAAGCAAAGAAGGGAACAGCACAGATGCATAGGCGAATCGGGACCGGAATTACATCTTTTTCGAATTCGTCACATGGAGGGAAAATCGGTTTTTTGATGGTAAACCCAATTTTTTGCTCGACGACCGCTGCCGAAGTTGTCACCATTGGATAGAGAATTAAATTCTGCATCCAGCACAACCAAGTAGAGAAACAGCACAGACGTAGGGGCGAATCGGGACAGGAAATACGTGAATCTGGTGCTAACATTACCTACGTCTGAGTTATAGTCAACTTAGACAGTATAGCATCAGAGTGGCTTTTGTATAAATAAACACATCTTTCGCTATATATTCCAAATAGTTTACATTCTCAAGAACATGAAATAGATCTTTCATCATGTTGATAAATAACGAACGCAGAAATAGAAAGTAAAATGTGAGAAAAATAATTTCTTTCCAATTTATGATCACCTGATTCTATTTATTATTCGTATTTTCGATTCTTCGAGATCATTTTATGAATATTCATTTTCTGTACTAGTCTCATGAGCAATATGGAACAGATAATTTATCGTCAATGAATTTCTGTAAATGACTTAAATATATACTTTTTTTGATTTTTCGCTTTGAATTTCTATTGATGCGTCTTCTTGACCGCTACAATATTCCTTGGTAGAAATTCTTCAACTTCAATCTATGCCATTTTTATTTACATTCTTTACTCGCTTTCCAATAAAACCACAAGGATTATCTTGAACATCTGTTTTAATTTATTGAATTTTTTATTTTCATTAACAAGAGACAAAAACAAAACTAACATGAATGAAAAAAGCTTTTAGTGTTTCCTTTATTTTGAACGTTTTGATGAAATCAGTAGAATCGAGACAATATCATTTTTTCCGACTTCCTCTAAAATCATCATACAACTTTTGTGCTAATGAATCAGAAATGTTATGACTAAGTTGCAAATGTCGTTTGAATACAGGAATCGGGACTAATCGAAGTTGACATAACATAATCGCTTCATTTTGTCGAGTATAATTTGATGAATTCATTTGTTCAGAAAAGAAAGGACATGGAACATTATTAAAACAATCAATAACATTTTCATTTCTATGAAATAATTTTGTTTTTCGAGGATCTTTATTAGCAGCAATAGCTTGTTGCAAGCGTTGAATATAAACCCTGTTTAATTTATGCTTTTACATGAAATGAAGATATAATGTCATTTCGCGTGTTGTATTATGCTTACAAAATTCAATAGAATGATTTGCTTTAGTGAGACCATATGCTCCATCAAATGTTAGTGGACATTTACCAATAATTTTTTTTGTATAATTTTCGTTTATATTTTACTTTTTCTTCATTAACATGTTCATCCTAAACAAAAAATAATAATAATGACTGTTTAGGTATTATATAAGATTCATTTCATAGTAAAAAAAATTAATTTAGATACAATATAAAAGAAACAAACAGAGTTTACAATAAGTATTCTATGAATAGTATTTGACTGATAATAGGACTTTGCTACGAAGCGAAGTTTATTTTTGAAATAATTTAATTCAAATTTGAAATAGGAATAGTTCATGTATTCGAAACGGAAAATGTTGTCATAAAAACTTTATTGAATCATAAATTTGCTTTTCTAAATAATCTGCAATAGAATGTATTGTTTTTTTAATTTTATTTACTGCTGGAATTTTGTTTAATCATTTACGGTCATTAGAGTTAGACCGAAATTGTACCACTCGTCCAATAGTATTTAATGTATATTTAAATACCATATAGAAATATTTGATATATCTTGATTCACAAGGTGAATTTATCGACTCTTGTGTATGATATGATTTTTACCTGAATAGATTTCGTTGTTTCACTAAAATATAAAATCAGTTTTAAATATTTTTCTAATAGAAAAAGAAGAAACTTACTCATTTGAAACAAGATCAATAAAATCATGGCTGATGTCCTCTAAATATAATACACGATCTTAAATCAACTATGTTTGTTCTTTTTTTTGAATTTAAAGAAAATTTAGCTTACCTTTTAAGATTCTCGATTCTTCAGTTACATCTAAAAAAATGAAAAATTTGTATTTTTGAAATCATCTTTTAATCTTACACGAGAACTGCTCGGACTGCTCTCCATCATTTGAACTCATTAGACCAGTAATAAAAACCAGCATAGAGTTAAAAAGTAGTGTTCATGAGTTAATTTATTGAATTTTTAACTTATCTTTCACAGAATTTATTCAAAAATAAATAAGCTACATTACATAAATTTATGGAGATATTAGATTTGTAATAAATAGATAATAGCAAAAATCAAATTTATTTGAGTGTAACATTTCGATAAATAGATGTTTTTTTCGCTGAAAATTTAAGGCTATTTGAAAGAGGTTTTATAAGAGTTATGTCTATGAGCACTTGCCGACTAAAAATTGAGTAGAACAGTCATAGCTTGACTCATTAAATGCAATTACTTTTATCAAAAAATTTCTCTGGTAGTATTATGAGTCCAAATGCTGATTGGCAAATTAAAAACAAACACAATGACAAGAAAAAATATTTCAGAAAGAAATTTTATATTACCATTTGGATTTATGTTTTCTTTATTATATTTGCAAACATGTGAACAATATTCAGTTTCTGATAATGATGGTTCGACTTTAACCGTGATTTCTAGCACAAGAAAAAAAGCAATAAGCGAAAAACAAGTTATTATCTAATTTAATTTTTACCTGAACGATTTAATATTATTGTTTGATGAATTTTTTCGAGAATACTTTGTAGTTCATCGATTGAAATATTGGGTTCACCGAGAAATTGTTTTGCCTGTTCAATCAAATGTTGTTCACGTTCAATAGTTAATTGTTTTTCTTCAAGAATTTCTTTGAGTGTATTTACGATTGTATTTAATTCATTTCGAAGACTGTCTGATCGTTGTTTAGATTTTTTTTCTATTTCAACGTGTTTATTCAAATGACATAAACAAACAAGACGTAAACAACAATGACATTCATATAATTCTTTGATTTCATTATTACATGTTACATCGGTACATGAACCGTTCTTGGGCATTTCTGAAAAACAAAAATTTTTTTTTCTTCAATGTTCGTTAAGATATGACAATGATCACTATGGACGAAATGTTTTCAATCATAAATTGATCGAGAAATAAATACATAAAAAAGAAAAAGAAGAGGAGAGAGAAAGAAAAAAAAAAAGCATTCACAATATCTAACAGTCAGTCAATATGAATAACGAAATTCATTCATGGAAGTTAAGACGAAGTTATTTGTTCATGAGAATTTCATTACATTAACATTTTCTTAATGAACAATATTGAATATTTAGAAAGATTTGTGGCTTATTATTCAATATATTCATGAAAGAAACAAGACACAAAGAGAGAGTGTAACACGAAAGGATGCCTAATGTATAATACCAATAGTCTAAAAAAGAAAGGAAAAGAGAAACACAAATGAGAAGATGATGACAACAATTTATTATAGTAGTAAACAAATGATTGATGAATTCCTTACCATATTCAAGTTTTCTTTGAACCATTCTTAATATATCTGTGGAAATTCAACATTTCAAAGAAGTGCGACAACAAATCAAAAATTCGAAAAGTTAAACCATTACTTTGTTAAATGAAAAGATAAATGAAAAAATTTATCGTATGTTCAATTCAGAGACTCAGTGGAACTATTTTGACGTAGTCTAGGCAGACTATTACAAGTACGTGACCATATTTTCAAGCGCTCAGTAGAAAAGATCTCATCGAGTAGATCGTTTCGAATAATCGATTGTTTTTCAGATTAATCGTTGTTATATTATAAATACTTGGATCTTCTATCAAACAGACCTCCGTTGCAGAATAATTTGAAGTAATCGAGTTCATTCAATCTTTTTGATTAAAGTTGATTTCAGCAGGTAAACTGCGGCTTAAAATGCTGAAATAAAAGTCTACATACTAATTTGTATTATATTTGACGTTGTGTATGATTACCTCATAGCATTAAGCTAAACGAAATTATTTCTATAGTTGAATCAGTAGGAAAAACAAGATTATTTCAAAATTTCGGTTTTATTTCGATTTCAGCAACCAGATCTCATTTTATCATATCTATACAAATCACTAAATATACTGTTAACTCTACATTAATCATTAAATGTAGAAGTTCAATTTTGAATATGTTATACGACAACTCTTACAGATTTCTCAGAGATAAAAAAAACGATTGACATAATCAAATCTTGGAATCTAAGAGTATTTTTCTAAAATTTATGTATATATTTGTTCCCTTTGTAATTTCTAATAAATGAGAGTGAGTGTATCAAGCATACTATGATCCATGCTTCAATCTTACTAAAAGATCTTATCAGATCGTTTTGATTTTGCTAGATTTGTTCGAATAAGTTCTACACCAAAGGACTAACAAAAATCAATTGGTAATATCGATAAAGTGTCAGTGTCGGCGAAGAATACTGATCATAACGTCTACGTCCACACCCTCATGTCATATCCTTACCCACACTTTGTATTAGACGAATCTGCTGATTCAATTTAAGATCTAGAAATTAAGCATTTCATCATTCGATGGAAGCATACTACATTTTAACATTAAATGAAAGAAAAAGCAGAATGTTTCATTTAATCTGTACAGATTATTGAAATAACTTGAATCCAAAATGTTTGATTAATTTAGGGAATTACAGAATTTACTCAGGCAATGCGCTACAATGAAGAAACAAGCTCTACATAATGTTATGATGACAACTAACCATCAAGTAAGAATCTAGATTAACCTATATTCAACTCTTAGAAAGAAATAAAGATCATCTTTGTACTTTGATTTTGTAAAAATGAATCGATATCGATGACATTTTATTCATAACATAACTTGTTCTTTTCACTACTGTATCTAAGTTTGCATTTCGTTAACACATTCAATTGTTCTAAGTTTAGTTTCAAAACATTTTTTAAAATTATCCAAGAAGTTAAGTCACCCAATTGGCCTACATCTCTATTTATAATCAAAATATTCCGTTCGAAATTGAATGAAATATTTTTTTCAAATATATCTCATATAACTTTTAATTCTATTATCATTCTATTTAACGTATCTTTTCTAATCAATTGAATTATTCAGAGTTAAAATAAAATATTATTCTGATCATATTTCTGTGTCATCGTAAGAAAAATGTTTCGAAACTAAACTTACAACAATTGAATGTGTTAAGGAAATGCAAACTTAGATACAGTAGTGAAAAGAACAAGGTATGTTATGAATAAAATGTAATCGATATAGATTCCATG